GAGATGTCTGCCCCACTGCCCACTAGCCCCCAAAGCTACATAGGCCTCTGTGGGTGCCTGTGATATGAGTGGAGCTCCTGCTGGCAATGGGAAGACTCTGGCCCAGCCCTCCCTACAAAAGCTGGTCCACTGTACTGGAACACAACACGGGCTCAACAAATCATATGTGATTGTGATGATGATGATGTCATTGCTATTACCCAGGAAATGGGCCTGACTCCATCCATCCCTTCTAATTCAGATCTCCAGGTCTCCAACAGATGTGCACTAGGGCTGAGTAAACGGATGGAAATGGCTGGGGTGGGTAGATCCCTCATTTCCCAGTGTCAGTGGCCAGAGGACAGGGAGCTTATCAGTCCTAAGGGCTGGGACATCTGTCATCCTTCTCCCTAATTCCTTCCAAACCAGACCACAGGGACAGCTTGGTACAGAGTCCCAGTGGCTGCTTCTGAGAAGTGGAACAGCAAAGTTGGGCAAAGGAAAAACTCAGGGGACTAGGTATGCCTCTATCTGGTATTATCAGAAGGTTTTGGAGAAGGTAGGCACATCCCCATTCATGTCACTATCCCCAGAAAAGCCAGAGCTAGTCTAGTGGCATGGAAACAAGGAGACAGAGCGCTCCCTGACAGCACTGTACGGCACCTTTGTAGCCCCAGAAGGGAGAGGTCTAAGAGGCAGAGTCCAAGGGGCTGAGAAGTAGTGCCCTGGGGAGCAAGGACAGGGCCTTGCCAGGAAGCAGGGCTAACAGAATGGCAGGCAGTGCCCACAGCCCTGTTGCCTTCACCACCAGATAAAGCCCTCTACACTGAGGCCTGCTGAGGGGTACAAAGGGGTGAGGTGGGGTGAGAGTATCTTCCCCCAGCCCCTGAACACCCCCAGGCACACTTTGTCCCTACCTCTACCACCTTTTTCATGTAGATATAAACATTGTACGGACATATAATGTGTTATGTGTATATATGTATGTACACACACAAACACATACACACACACACACATTGACGTCTGTGTCCTCCCACCTACAATGGAAATGGAGCAGGGACTGGGTTGTTTTCCGTTGGGACTGTGGTGCCAAGCATACAGTAGATGGTCAGTAATGTTTCTGGAAGAATTCCATAGCAAGGTCAGACTGCTCCATGGGAGTTTCTGGGCTCACCACACCCCCCGAAGAACTTCCTTTTATATTCTGAAGTTGTCCCCAGCGTCTGCCTGCAGCAGGCAACAGGATTATTTTATTCACTTTGGCTCAAAGGTGACACTTCACTTTATTAAACAAGAAGATGGCCTCTTTTGAAAGTACCCATCTATGTCCACCCCGACAACCACCCACTGCAAACTGCTGCAGCTTCTGACCTGAAGCCCTGGTTGCTATTCAGGAGAAGGGATTTCGCTTATTGATGGGTGTGTGTGGTGGGGGAAGTATTTCCCAGAAGCCTTTTCTTAGTTCTCTAGTACTTCGATAACAGAAATACCACAAGTGGGTGGCTCTAACAAACAAATTTATTTTCTCACAGTTTGGGAGGACAGAAGTCCAAATTCAGGGTGCCAGCTCTAGGGGAAGGCTTTCTCTATTGGCTCTTGGGGAAGGTCCTTTTCTCCTTTCTGTGGAACTGGTATCCTTTCTGTCTGTCCCATGCCCCTTTCCCAGCCTCACAACGGCTGGGCCAGGCAGGGCAATGGACACAGGTAATCTCTGTGGGTCCTGTATGTCTTGTTTATCTCCATGTGTCTCAGCATCAATCTTTCCCTGGGTCTAGGAGGTTTTCAGTGCAGAGACCTCAGATCCAAAGGACATGCTCTGCTCCCAGCTCTTCTTTCTTGGTGGTACCAAGGACCCTCTCTCTCTGTTCCCTTCTCTCTCTTCTTACCTCTTGTAAGATAAAAGTGATGCAGGCCACACTCCAGGGCCACTCCCCTTAACACTGGATCAGGGCTGTAACCTGAGTAAGTGTGTTCTAGCTCACCCTAATCCCCTTACAAGTGATTGGCTGATCCCATCATGGAGATGATAACATCATTAAATAGCTGCCAAATCACATCATTACATATCTGTCAAACCACTGAAAATCTGACCCAGCCAAGTTGACACATATTTTGGAGGGACACAATTCAATCCATGGCAGCCCCATTTAACAGTCAGTTTCATGAGCAGTGTGGGCAGGCAACTCCATCTCACTCTATCTGATTGACTGAGGCAGTGAGAAGAGTTCTGGTCTGTCCACCAGTCCTCAAGACCACAAAGAGGACATGCCAACCAGAACCTTTCACCCCAGTATTTATTGATGCTACACTCTGTGAAAGGCCTGAGAACTTGCGGGGAATCTGTTTTTACTCTGGAACTGAGGAAGAGAGCTAGAACACAGAAGGTGAGGTGGAAGGGAAGAGGGGGTGGCTGTGAAGGGACAGGTGAGGAAGCAGCCCCCTTTGCCCACAGAGATAACTGCCCTGTGTCCATTGCCCTGCCTGGCCCAACCACTGGGAGCCTTGACCCTGGGACAGGCAGCAGGAGAGAACGGAACAGAGGTCTTCTCGGAGCCCCCAGCCCAGCCCCTGGGTGCTAGCCTTACCCCACAGGCCCCTTTCCTTCAGGGTTTCCCAGACACTGGGTCTTCTGCAGCCTCCATGTTCCTGAGTTGAGGGTCAACTCCACGGAATGGGGGTGCACATCCCACCCCTCCTTACATTATGCCTCTCAAGAATCCTTCTGCCAGTCTAAAAAGGGAAAGAGACCCCTCCCCAAGACCACAGCTGTCACTGATAGGCCCAGCTGTCTGACCCCAGTGTGGGTGGCCCGTAGAGCACTTGGCCCTCATCCAGTCTCACTGCCTCACCTGCAGCCCAGCCCTCCAGCATGGAACTGAAGGGCTCACCCCCTTGTTTCTCCAATGCTGGCCTAAAGACTCTGCCCTCTAAGGGAGGGTCTGTATGTCACTTAGAGTTCTGGTTTGTGAGACTTTTAGTGCTAAAACAGTTCTTGGATGGATAGTCAATCTAGTGTCATTTGCCCCAAAATCCTTAGGAACCCTGCAGGTACATTCCACACATTTACCCTTAATGGTTTCCTACCTCTCCCATTCCCACTTGGGGGAAGGCCACAATATTTTTCTTCCTTCTGTGTTTCAGACCCAACTGCTGTGAGTCCTGGGGTGCCACACCTTCCACTGATCCCTTCCCTCCTGTGGTCCTGCAAGGTCCTGTCTACTTGGCCTCTCCACCCAAGGGCATGGCAGGCATTGTGACCTCACCTCATAGTTTAGACAATGGGGCCCCAGAGCAGCCTTGAACATTTCCTTGGAGAGCTAGAGGACAACCAACTGGGCTGCTACCTCAAAGCTGGCACCCAAACAACAACCCTGGGCTCCCCACAACTCCTCACCCACCCTGTCCCCTCCTGGGGTTTCACACCCCAAGTGTCACAGGCCATACTCTCTTTGTGTAAACATCTTAATTACATCTTTAATGCTCTCACATGGAGATGCTGTGAGTTAAATTACAGCTTCTGTGCATCCTAAATTACCCACAGTCCTCCAGTTGGCTAAGTGCTAACATATTTATAGAATCTCGAGGAGGGACCAACTCCAGAACTTTCCCCATGTGACTCCCAGGCCCTCACCTCCTGCTATAGAATATTTGCCCAACAGAAGATTTGCACATGCCACCCTGCATCCCCTCCAGCCAGCAGAGGACAGCGATGGTGCCGACATGCTCCTGCGTGCACGCTTACCCAGTGTAGAGAAATTCCCAGTGCCTGGGGTCTGGTACTGCCCAGTGCCCTGCTTGCATGGCCCTGGTATCAGCTCTGATCCACCAAGGCTGAGGGGGTGGCCAAGTGCAGACTCCTTCCTCACCCTTTCAACACTGAGAGACCCCTTCCCATAGAAGAGGTGGAGGTGGGGGAAACAAAACCAAACTAGGTTTCTTGTGTGTTGCTCAAGGAGCTACTCCCCACCCCCTTCCCTCCAGGCCATCAGAACTCCCCCACTTAACCTGTAGCCTATGACTAGCAGCCTCTCTCCAACCCCAGAGCTTGGATACAGCCCCAAACAGGAGTCATTTGCAGAGGTGGGAGCCCAGGTTTTAGGGCCCTGTGAAGAGACACAGTAGATGGTAGAACCCTCGCCTTTGCCTCCCTCCTCCCTGTCTGTAGTCCCTGAACATTGAAGGCAATGGGGAAAGTGGCCCCCATCACTGCTTCTCTACTTACCATGGGGTGGCAGTAGCAGTCAGAAGGTCCCTACTGTCCTGTTCTAAGCATACTCAGACACACACATAGGGTCTTCAGGCAGTTTGGGGGGCAGGGGCTGCATCTCTCTACACCTGTCCCCTCACTTCTCTTCTTCCTCATCTCTCACCCTAGTTTGGGCCCAGCAAACAACTAGCTGCCAGGAAAGGGTGGCTGGGAGGCTTCCTACACTCTCTGTAATATGGATGGACCCAGGGTACGAGCAACCCCCCTTTGCATTTTTGCCCACTGGGCAGGTTTAATTCCGTCCTTGGGGCTGTCAGGGTTGATCATAGGTGCCTGCCCACCTGTACCTGTGACCTGAGTGGTTGCTTCTTCCCACCCTAGACAAGGTTCCAGATTCCAAACACAGAACTCTCCCTGACAGAGGGAAACCCCTTTCATTCTCCTTCCCTCCTCCCTCCCACCCCTTATTTTTCCCCATTTCTTTCACATTCAGAGGAGCTGACCCTGATGTGAGGGATCTGGACAGGAGACAAGGATGCCAGTAGTGGCTTTTGACCTCTCGGTATAAGGGCTGCCCTCCATGCCAGGGCCCTCAGGCCAGGGGAGGTCAGTGATGAGATGCCCCGTCCAGCCAGGGGCCTTAGAGCCTAGAGTCAACAGGTGGGTCTGCAGAATAGCTGGGGCCTGGCCAGGCCCTTTCCTGCCTCAGCAAGGCAGGTCCTGAGTAGGTCTTGACAATCAGGGAGTGGGCAGCTGTGTGGGTGCTGTAGGAGGCATTGCCATCAGAACTTCAGGCCTGTCCCTGAGCTGCTCACGCATGGATGGCATTGGCTACATCAGTGAACACCAGCCGGCTAGGCCTCTGCAACGGGCCCTGGGAGGAGAGAGTGGTCTGCAGAGAGAAGGGCAGGGACATCAGGGACCTTGACCAAGGACATGTACCCTTTGGTCCAATCACCTCCACCCTTACTTCCTGGTGCCTGCTGTGCTTGGCATGAGCTTTGTCTTCTGCCTGGAATGCTCTCCTTGCAAGCTCAGCCTTGAAATACAATCTGGCTTAGATGACACCCCACACACACCCCAGTCCCCACAGCCATCTCTAGCTTGCCTTGCCAGCTTCTCTGTGGGCTCAGGACTGAATTCATTATGCATGCACCATCCTCCCCAAGCACAGGGGTTCACATCTGCACCCCTAGGCCCTAGCACAAGGGCTGGCACAAGGAAGGGATTCAAGAAACAATTCTCTAATTGCCAGTTGCCCCATGGGCTGTGTGGACCAAGATTCTCAGGCCAATTTTCCAAATATCCCAATGGTATCCTGACCTAAGTCACACAGAACTGGTGGCAAAACAAGGGTGTCTCTGGACTTCCAGCCTGAACTTTTCCTGAGTCCAGTCTCTCAAATTTGCCTTTGGTGGGCCAGACCCTTCTAGCAACCCATGAGGTCAAGTCAAGGCAAAGCAGGATGTGAAGAGGACTGGGGGTCTAGGGAGGCCAGACCTTCTCATGGAGCCCTGGTCCTTAGGGATTTCAGGGGCTGGTGGCAAGTGGTCAGGCAGGTCAGTGGCCCCAGCAGGATAACTATACAGGGGCCCAACCTGTTAGGCACAGGAGCTAGGGTCTCTACCTGCCCAGGGTCTTTCCATGACTGGGAACCCACCAGCCTACTCTAAGATGACAGTGCCCAGGAGTCTTGCCTCATGTACAATCCACTCAGGACAGTGATCCTCAGGGAGCTGTGGGACCCGGGATCCTCTCTCATTGATCCCCCAATATGTGGGGGTATAAAGAGCAAGAATTAAAATTTTCATTTGCAGATGAGAAAACTGAGGCTCAGAGAAGGCAGAACTAGGCTGGATCCTAGGGCTGCACCCAGCCTGACCTGGTAGTGAGGTGAGTCTGTGGGTAACCACAGAACAATTCTACCAGTTTCTAAACAAACCTGACAAAACTGATATACCCAACAGCTGTTGCCTGACCACATGGCAAGTGCTCGAAAACTGAGTGATGATGGAGGGGGGTGAGGTAGGGTGTGCATGAATGGGCTGCGGGCTGGGCGGGGCGGGGTTCATCTGGCAGGGCCCACCTTGCCCTGCGTGGCCTGCACAGAGGCGGCAGCCTGCATGGAGGCAGCGTCCCTCCCATGCTCCAGCAGCTCCTGTTCCAGCTCATCCTGTTCCTCTGTGGGGTCGAAGTTGTACATGGGCATGAGCTGGTGGCGTAGCTTCTCCAGCCTGAAGAGGGAAGAAGAGGCTGCTGGGGGCAAGGCAGGCCCCTCCCCTCCCATAAGCCCTCCAGGCACTGCCAGCCAACCAAGTCACAGCACACAACCACATTTGCCACTTATAGGACTAGCTCTAACCCTCAGACAGAGCCTGGAAGAAGCTGCCCACCCCTGGGAGTGGGGCCATGGAACTATCATCCGTAGGGTCCACAGGGACTGCCTAGGCCAGGGCCTTGCTGGGATTCAAGTCTTTGGGTATTGAAGGAGCAGGGTGAGTCAGTGGCAGGCAGTTCAGGATGGCAGGGCAAGAGTGGCTGGGCAGTTGGGTACCCAACCTTCTCCTCTCTCTCTATTTGCCCACAATCTCAGAATCACCTGATAACCCAGAATCCTCACACCTGCCTATACTTTGTGTGAGATTCCTGCGCATAGGGGGTGTTAGGTCTCCTTGAGAGACAGTAGTCACCTCCAACCCCAAGGGGGCAGAAGACGCCTTGACTCTCCCTGACTGGGGAGGGAGGTCCTGGTGTGTGTGGGGGGCTCTTTCTCTTTTTTCATCCATACCCCCTGGAATATAGCCCATCACTGCCCATGGGTTGGGGCTTTGGGTGACATCTGGGAGTGAGTTACCTCTTCTTCTTCCTGATGTACAAAACCTGCAAGAGAAGGAACAGTGTCAGATGGCCAGGAAAGGATGCCCTGATGAACCTAACAGCCTCTCAGGATGGGAATCATGCTGAAGCTGATGAATGGGAGACCTGTAGGTCCCCATGTCCTCAGGGTCTTCATCCCAGTGACCCTACACCCTACATTCATGCCCTCCTTTGACATTTATTAGATGCTGAAATTGCTCAGACCAGGGCTAGGGACCAGAGGTGGGACCAGGCCTGCTCTCATGGCCCAGCCTCGGAAGACCACAAAGTCAGGTCAGGTCCGCGGGCTGGTGGGCCCTCCCTCTGCCCACACTGTTGTGGCTCCAGCCACTCAGCACTTCCTGTGACTCTGCAAAGCTGAAGGGGGAGGGGAAGACTTCAACATCCCTCCTCAATGTCTCCCCCTAAACCTCCACAGGTCCCCAGACCCAAAGCTATGTATGGTTAAAAAGAACAGGGAAGAGACTTGGCAGAGCAAGTCCCCTCAGAACTCTCATGGTAGGAAGGCCCCCTGGTCTTATCCCCTATTGTAAAGTTTGAAGATAATGGGCTAGGCAGCTAAGAAATCATCTAGAGTCTCTAGGCTGGAGCAGGAGACCTTGGTATAGAGGGAAGGGAGGGAGGGGGTGAGACTCAGGTAACTGCCTAGGGAGGGGACTCCAGGGACCTCTGTCACCATCTTGCTTCTCCCCAAGCTGGCAGTTTCCAACCATCAGGAGCATACCTGCTTCTGCCTAGGGGAAAGCTATGTCTCTAGGGTTTGTTTGCCCCAAACCCTCTGTGGCTCCTACAGCCTTTGTGGCCCATTTACAGCTTGACCCTGGTCTATAGCTCCTCCTGCTGCCTGCTCCTGGGGGACCCTGTGCTCCTTGGCCCCTTAGCTTTTGTCCCTCCCCCTTAGGAGCTCTCTGGTAGCATAGTGGCTAAGACACTTGCCTGCTAACCAGAAGGCTGGCGGTTCAAACCCACCAGCCACTCCTCGGAAGGAAGGTTGGGCAATCCTACTTCCGTAGTGATACTGCCTCGGAAACCCAAGGAGGGGTCGCTATGAGTCGGGGCCGACTCGACGGCACATAACAACAACAACAACAACCTTAGCCTCATGTAGAGGGCTCTTCAGGAGAAGACAAAACCTTCATGCAACCTCCATGCCTTTGCCCCTGCTTTTCCCCTGCCCCAAGTGCTGATATCCCCCACACCTTTTCAAATCATCTCCACCTCTCACTGTGCAACTTCAGCCCCACCTCCTCCAGGAAGCTCTCTCTCACTGTTCCTGCTGGCACTAAGTGCTTTTTCCTCCCATGTGAGCCACATAGCCTGGCACTAATTTATTCCTGTATCCAACATAGTCCAGCTCAGGCCTGGCGTGAGGGCAGAAGCAGCAGCACTCAGAAAACACCACTAGACCTGTCCTCTGGGTGCAGGAGCTATTTCCTGTCCTTCACTGCCTTTATCCTACAACCTTCCTACCTTTCCACTTTTGGAGAGAAGTCTACCCACTCGGACCCACCAAATGCTCCTCCAGAGCGAAGGAGGGAGGAAATCTTCTGTTGCGAGTTACAAGGACAGATTCTAGGCTCTGCTTGCCCCTCATCAGGATGCTTCAGTCTGCCTAACTGCAACATGGCATCTTGTCCCCACCTCCAGCTCAGCAGACCTCTCAGGCCCTGGCCTCACTGTCCATGTCCTGTATTTTGGACCTGCCTGCCAGCATACAGTTATTCCCTAGCCATAATCCAAAGCCTGCTGGGCCCATATGGCAACTGTGTTTTAATAGCAGCTCCAGCCAGGCTGTAGATGGCCCAGCCACAGCCCTATTTGTCAGAGCAACGTGTTTTGAGCCTAAAGCCAGCAATCAGAGCCCAGGGGGGCAGTAGGCAGAATGTTAGCATGTCCAGGCCTAGGGAAGCCTCAAGTATACTCCGCACTTCCTGGATTCAGCCTGGGCAATCTATAGTGGTCCCCAGTGACATTCCAGTGTCCATGTATCATCATACCCATAATTGGAGGATAACTACAGCCCTTGCCCAGCTAACCTTGGTCCTAACGGCTGTTGAACTTTGCCCCTTCTCATGACACTGAGGCCAGGCCTTCACCATGAGGCCCTCTCAACTGTCTCTGCCCACCCAACATGGAACAGCTCTCCCTCACCCCATTTTCCACATAAATCTCTGTAGGCCTCTCTTGGGGCCCTTGATTTTTTATGTCTTCCATCCTCTTAAGATGCACAGAGTAGGACTTTGTTTCCTCAGCTCCTGTTAAGTGCCAAAGACCTGGTCCCAGGGCTGGCACCCAGTAAATAATCGTCAAGCGAGTGAATGAACTCTGCCAGCAGCCTATCATGCCTGGAGCATCCCACTCAGACAGGCTCCATAGCCCACAATCCATCACAACCTCCTTCTGGCCTCTGTTCATATTGTGCCCCCACCCATTTGCCTCAGTGTCCTGCTTGCTTCTCTTAGAGCTTCCCACCTGACTCCAAAGTGGTCCATCAGGACCATTCACCTGAAATGCCTTCCTCCCTAACACCTACACAACAGCCTTCATGTTCCAGCTCACAACACCATGTATTCCTTAGAACTTTCTCTGTTTTTTCCAATTGCAGGCAACCTCTCTGTTCTCTGGACCCTAATGACAAATCCCTAGGGGAGGAAGAAATTACACTATGATTAACAGACAACTGCCCTCTGATTAGAGTCTCTGTAAACCCAAACGCTGACTACCCTTTCCCCATCCAAGGGGCACCTGGGCTAGCCAGCCTGCCCTAGCTCTTACCATAGCCACAGCAAGGCCAATCACTGTGATGATCCCAAAGGACAGAAGCATCGTGCCCACGCCAGCTGTGCCACCAACCACGTCAGGGATTCTGGTGCCATTAAAGCTGGTGGCTTCTGGGCTGAGGGTGGTGGTCTCAGAGGCTGGCCCATCTGTGGCAGACTCCAGGTCAGGGTCAGAGGTAGGTGGGCGGCTGCTGAACCAGCCCCTAGTCGACGTGAACTTGGAGCTCATGCTGGTGCTGAGAGGTCTCTGATCAAGAGACTGCCCGTGGTCAGTCAGTCTGCCCACTCCCTACATCAGGAGTGCTCAAGCCTGTGGCCTCCACTGCTCCTTGGATAAAAGGAGCCACTTGTCTCCTTGGGTGCTGAAAAGGAAGGAATGAAAAACAAAAGGCTTAGGATGGTGTTGTGATAATGAGATGAAGTCCTTCAAGTTTCTGAAGACACAAGGGAAATGAAAGTTTGAGGGCAAGGGCAAGTTTGGGGGACATCAGGACACATGCTTTCTATATCTAGGGATCCTGTGTGGATTTGTTATTGTTGTTAGCTGCTGTGAGTCAGCCTCTGACTCATGGCCACCCCGTGCACAACAGGATGAAATGGTGCCCGGTCCTACGCCATCCCCACGATGGGTTGCAGATCAGCCTGTTGTGATCCATGGGACTTTTACTGGCTGAGTTTTCAAAAGTAGATCACCAGGACTTTCTTCCTACTCCATCTTAGTCTGGAAGCTCCACTGAAATCTGTTCAACATCATAGCAACACACAAGTCTCCACTCACAGACAGGTAGTGACTGCACTGAGGTACACTGGCCAGGAACTGAACCTGGGAGCCCTGCATGAAAGGCAAGAATTCTACCACTGAACCACCAATGCCTCATGCCTGGTATGGATTTAAGAACACAAAATGAAGCCCTGCCCACCTCTGTTGTGTGGGTAAAGTGATCCTACTGATGATATTTGAAGGATGTGAAAGGTAGTGGAGGTTTGCAAGAAAAAGTCCCTCCCCTGCATCTGCTTCGATGCTTGGAGAAAAAAATACCACAGCTTTTTCCTTTCCTGAAAGAAAACACTTGCCCCATCGGACAGACCTTGCTTTGAATTCCAGCTTTGAATCAGTCACTTAGCTGGATGATCCTAGGGAAATCACTGTACCTCACTTAGTCTCAGTTTTCTTGAGGCTAAAGATGAGATATTAAGAACACTGCCTTCATAGGGTCATAAGGTTACATAAATGTCAAAATGAACTGGTTCCTAAAAAATGGCTCAGCACAGCATCCTCCTGCTACACAGAAAACCAAGAAAACCAAACCCATGGCCACCGAGTCGCTTCCAACTCATAGTGACCCCCCACTGGGTTTCCAAAGTTGCAAATCTTTACGAAGTAGATAGGCCTCTTATTCCTCCTGAAGAGCAGCTGGTGGGTTTAAACCGCCAACCTTCTGGTTAGCAGCCAAATGCCTTCTCTACTAGGTCACCAGAGCTCCTTGCTACACACAGAAGTGCCCAATAATTGTTAAATATCCTCCCTCTGGCCAACACAATCAGAGAAGGTAGAGTCACAGAGGCCTCTGGATGCAATCTGATGTGTGGTCCAGGCTGTGCTTGGAGGAGGGTGGGGGCAGGTATAGAGAGAGGGGTGTAACTGCTCATGGAGCATGCATATAGGAGAGACTGAAATGGGGTTCTCTGGCAGGGTTTCTCTGCAGATTCTTAGGGTCACTGGTCTCCCTCAGAAAGGCTGCCAGGGACAGGGAGAAAGGTGATGGGACATACCCACTTTGAGGTGTCCTCTCCTCTCCTCCCCTGGGAGCAGAGGTAGGAGATACACCCAGTCCAGGGTGTGGTTTAGGCCTTCCCAGACCAGAGGGCCCTGGATGAGTGGGGTGGAAAGGGGTCCCAGTCAAGTTCATAATGGCAGGGGGGTGGGGCAGAGGATGCACAGCTCATGCATGGCTGCACACTTCCTGCCCTGTACTGGTGCATGACTGTGTGAAGTACCTCCTTGTGCACATGCATGAGTGCGTGTGGGGTGGGTACACATGGATGATAGCCCCCTTGGGAGAGGCAAAGCTGGCAGAAAGACAAGGGAGTGAGGGTCAAACTCATCCTTCTCTGCCCTCTCCCTCCAGCTAGGCTGGGTGAGACCTGAGTACTCTTCTTGGCTCTGCTACTGATCCCAGGCATGACCTTGGGCTGGACCCTTAACTCTTGCTCTGTGGCTCAGTTCAGTCCTCCATCCAGTGAGGACAAGGGGCCCTGCTCACCAATTCTCCGGACTGCCTTGCAATCCAAAGGGTAAAAGAGATACTGGGATGAAAGGGACGGCGCTGCGACCTCGGGAAACCCGCGTACTATTCTCCGCCAGGTCCTCCAGTCTTCCCTGCCCCAGTTCCCATCCCCGCCTCCGCCACTCTGATTTCTCCATCCTTGCACAGAAGCGGCGACCTCAGCACTTACTTAATCCGGGGCGCCGAGCTCAGAGAGGCTGGGGGTGGTGACGGCGGGCGGGAGGCCGGGGCGGGGGAACCTCGAGGCCTGGGGTTGGTGGGGGGTGGCAGGTCCGACCAGAGGTCCTCCCTTTCGAAACGCTCCGAGCCGCGAGCAGGGTTCACTATCGCGCACTGCTCGCAAGTGCGAGCGCCGGCTCTGCCTGCCTGGGCTAGGGTGGGCTGGGCAGGGAACGAAGGTGGGGGTGGGGCCGGCCGAGCAGCCTCCGGGGGTCCTTGACGCTCCAGTGCCCCGCACCGCCCCGCCTCCCTGCTCGCTCCGCGCTCTCATCCCCGGATTGGCTGTCAGGCCTAGAACCCGCGGGCCATTGGTCCACTCTCCTGTCATTTGACTATGGCTCCGCCCCCAGCGGGAACCTGGAGCTGGGTCGCGGTCCTCTGGGATCACCCCTCACCCCACCCGCCAGCGCCGAAGCCGGGCGGGGACCGTAGGTAGCTAGGCCTTCCCGGGCCAGAACTCAGGCCCCTACGTAGCCTGGGTTCCACGGCCATCGTGACAGACTTGCACTCCCAATCGCAGGCGCATGGAGGAGAGTTGGGGAGAGCAGTGGACCCGTAGTCCTTGAACCTGCATTGAATTCTATCTAGCTCGACCCGCTACTGACTTTATGACTGTGGGCAAGCTACTTCCTCTCCCTGGGCCTTGTCTTCCTGCTCAAATGGGGCTCCGATGTGAGGGTTCTTGGTAAACGATCCTCACCTTAGGCTAGAGATGGTGAATATTCAGTCTAGAGAAGTTGGGGCGGGGTGGTATGATTGGACAGATACCCCGACCCAGGCAAGTCTGCTGATGCCCCTCACAGTAGCCTCCACTCACGGCGCGATTATCTCAGGGGAGCGGCCCTCAGACATCCTCTAATCATCAGGTTTTCAAAGGGGTTAATGGGAACACTGGGGTAACTTAAATGCAGATGCCCGCGGCTCCCGAAGTTCGAGACTGAGCCCAGGGAGCTGTGTGTTTAATAAGTGCTCTCCTTCCCAGTAGATTTTGGTGAGGAGGTCACTGTCTTGCGCGTCGGGGTTCGAGCTCCCAGCTCCAAGCCCTAAACAGTCTGACCCAAGGCCAATCAGCGTTCGCGTTCGGAGCGAAAGTAACTGGATTGGCCCCGGCATCCAGTCGCCACCGGTCCCTGAAGAGCTCTGGCCGGCTCCCTGACACTGGGTACCACCCCCAGCACTAGGCCCCGCCCAGGAGCCTCTTTACGGGGCCCATGGGATATGCTAGGCCACACCCCTAGACGTCGGGCCCAGACCCTGGACCCTTGCCTCGCTTGTGACACACCCCAGTTCGCTGCCAGCTTTTGGGTTCCGCCCACACTCCGCTCAGTCCCCGCCCTTTAACGCCAGCTCCCAAGAGTCACTGGGCTGAAGTTATTCCGGTCGTAACTTTAAGAAAGCGCTGCAGATCCTGGTTGCGAGGACCAATCACACATCCACACCAGTTCCGACCCGTGGACTTGTGGACATATTGGATATGGCGTTCACAGCCTTCTCCACAGCTCTCTGTGGGATCTCCCTGGTGGAACCTGGCGGCGCTAGGAACCCTGGAGCAGTGGCAGTGGGGTCCACCCGAGTCCTTTCTCAGATGCGCCGACCCCGGAAACGGGCGTCCGAGGGAGCGCACGGCGGGACACGCACGTCCGAGGGCCGGACCCAGGGCAGTTTCTCCACACCGGAGGGCGGGTGGGGCAGCACATTGGGCAGGTACGGACTAGAAACCCGGATTGGCGTGGGTGCACCCAGACTTCAGTGACTGGACTGGCCCCATCTGCCGTAGTGTAAGATGAAAAGAAACCGGCGCGAGTAAGAGGCCGCCCCTTCTGGGTCACTAACGGTGCCAGGCGGAGCTGAAAGGGAGGCTGCGCCTTCTGACTTCAAGGCTCGGCTTCTCCCAGGGCAGAGCTGTCTCTGGAGTCTTGGACCCAGATTCCTGTCCTGCCTGGGACAACTCCCAGCTCGATGACCAGTTCCTAGCTGGCTTGCACCCTTGGAGCCTCTGTTCCCTCCCTGAAATGGTGTAGCTTGTCTCTGTAGATCGGGCACTCAGCGAGGGCTCAATAAATGCTTGTTTAGATCTTGGTCTGCCTGGAAGGAAAGGGGTAACTGATTTCAAAGTATATTTTTAGTTAGGCTTGCTTATGACTATTTATAAAATTTGTAAAATTAACAAAAATTACAAGTTTTTGGCTGGCAATTTATGATGATAGCTGGGATTATGGGTTAAATTGGGGGTCAAGTTTCAACGTACAATGACTGTACCTGCAAAATGTCAGAAGCAAAGCTCCCCAACAGAGGCACTCACCTCTTTGTAATATTAGTTAAGAGCTTGTAACATTGAACACCTGCTTTGTACTGAGCTCCCAGCTAGGCCCTTCAAATTCACTGGCTAATGCACTGCTCATCATGGGGTTGGTGTCATTCTCACCATTTTACTGATGAGCAAATTGAAACTCAGAAATAACAACTTGTCCAAGCCCACATATGCAGGGTCAGACACAGATCCATCTGATTCCAAAACCCATGTCCAAACCCACACCAGTCCCATTTATTAGCAGCAACGGAGCTATGGGTTCATCTGCCTTGACTCCAAACATGAAAAAAACATAACTGTTTAAGAGAAGAAGAATCAGGTAGATGAGTGAAGGTCTAAAATGGAGTCAAGGAAGTTATGGTGCAAGAGCATACCTCCTTTTGGGTAGTGGGTGGAAAGCAAGTCCTGGTCCTGTGTGGTGTCGGGGTGGGAGTCACTCAAAGCTCAGCTACTCTCTTGCCCCCCCCCCCCAGTCCAGGGTAGCAGCCATATCTGAGGACCACAGTCACTTTGGGAAGCTGAAGCCTGTGATCTCCCTGTCTCCACCTGTTTGGGGCTAGTGACTACCTTCAGAGCCTACCTCCACAATTGACGTGACAAGAAAGACTTGGAGACCTGGAAACGCTTACGAGAGCCTTTCCCTGAGACATGAAGCGTTGGGGCCGAATGCTGTGGGCCCTCTTGTCTGGTCCAGGAAGGAAAGGAGGCACCCAGGGCTGGGCCTTCAGCTCATGGCCACCCCATTCACCTCTGGCTGGGCTGGTGAGTGCCACAGAGCTGGTCAGCCACTGGACAGCAGTCTTTGAAGAGAGAGGCATCCCTGAGGCCCGGGAATCCAGTGAGTACATCGTGGCTCATGTCCTTGGAGCCAAAACAGTTAAGTGCAGTGGTATCAGCAGGGTGGGAAGGGTAGGGAAAGGGAGGACCCTGGGGAAGAGACATCCAGGCTTTTCAGCCCCACTGAGATGGGCTCACCAGCTGCCATCACCTGCACAACCCTCGGCTTAGCTGAGACTGATGGGATTTTTCTGAAGGAAAGTCTTAGGCAGATATTTATTCATTCACCCAACAAACTATGACAGGACCTGGGCACTAGGGGTTCAAGGATGATCAAAGTGGCCAGAACTGGGCCTCAGGCATGGTCCACATAAGAAACCCAGTTGGGATCCCCAGGCTCACATCCTCTGTTGGGTCAGTTTCAGAGCCTGAGGCCAGCACTTCGGATCCAGCCCCTGACCCCTCAGCAGGTACAATGCATCCAGGAGCTGAGTAGCTACAGATTGCAGAGGTGAGCACCTGTGGGCCAAGACTTGGGGCTCTTTGTGGGGAGCAGGGTTCCTGCAACCCTATCAAGTCCATGTTCCAGGGGAGAAAAGTATCCAAAGACTGGTGAGGTGTCAGGGTGAAGGAATGGCAAAAAGGGGCCAGGGCAGTGAATGAGAATGGAGGGAATGAGAAAAGGCGTTGGCTAGGAGTCCAGGGCACAGGAGACAAGTTTAGCCACTAGAAGGATCCCTCAACCCAAGCATGATTTTGCCCATCCTGGCTCTGTCGCTGCCTACGCCCCTGCAGGATGCCGGTGCAGTACATCCTCGGAGAGTGGGACTTCCAGGGTCTCAGTCTGAAGATGGCACCCCCAGTATTCATCCCTCGGCCAGAGACAGAGGTGAGTGCTGCCAAGGGCAGGGCAAGATGAAGAGTGTGAGGTTGAGGATACTTGTCTTTCTCTAGACTTCCTCCAGAGGCCACTGGGGCTCCATGACTGGGACAGTACCCTTCCTTATTTCTCACCAGCTCCCTTGACTGTCTTCACATCCTGATCCTGCCCAGGGTGCTCCAGCTATTGCTGCTACTGAGTCTTCAGCCTGTTTCTGCCGCTTTCCTGAGAGTTGTCCTTTCACAGGGTCCAGAAGGGTCACAAGGCCCACCAGGCCTCTTCTCAGTATGTATGGTAAAGTGGAGAAGGTTCTAGCTGGATACTTGGAGGTCCAGTCTCAGCTTACCTTGGGCAAGCCACTGCCACTTCTGAGCCCAGATGATGAGAAGAGTCTGTAGACCAGAGAATATGACTCAGTGGTTCTCATAGATCCATAGGCAACTACCTGTATTTGCCCCCCAAATTTATTAGGACTGGGGTATGTGGCCTGGCATGTTCTCCTTGGGTGAGGCCCCTGGTCCTGGGAGGGATGCTTTCTGTGGCTTTTCTAGGGTTTCCCCCCCACACTTTGGAGGTGACAACTGGGAACAAGAGAGAGCAGACCATGTGGAGCTGATGAGGGAGGCTGGGCAGGTTGTGAGAAGGGGTTTTTCTGGAAAGGTACCCAGCCTCATAAGCATTCCTAGGAAAGTTCAAACAGCAACAAAGACTAGTACAATGAACTCCCATGTGCACGTAAGATAGCTTCAAAAACTATCAATTAATGGCTAATCTTACTGTTTTTTTCAGTATATTATTACTTTAAAATCGCTTCACCCATATCACATTTATCTCTTAATTATCCATCTATTTTCCCTACTTTCCCCTCCTCTCCCATCCTTGGTAAACAGCAAAGAAAATTTCCTTCCCTATGTAAACCTTTTCTTGACTTTTTATGGTAATAGACTCATACAATATTTGCCCTTCTATGACTGACTTGGGAGCTCTGGTGGCGTAGTGCCTAAGGCATTTGACTTCTGACCAGAAATCTGGCGATTCAAACCCACCAGCCACTCCTCGGAAGGAAGGTTGGGCAATCTACTTCCATAGTGATACCTCCTCAGAAACCCAAGGAGGGGTCGCTATGAGTTGTATCCAACTTGACAGCAGTGTTTGGTTGGTTGGTTGGTTATGACTGACTGATTTCACTCAGCATAATGTCCTCCAAGTTCATCCATGTTATGAGGTGATTCACAGATTCTTCATTATTCTTTAATGTTGCATAGTATTCCATTGTGTGTATATACCCTGGTTTGGTTATCCATTCATTTGTTGATGGGTACTTAGGTTGTTTCCATCTCTTTCCTGTTGTGAATAGTGATGCGATAAACATGGGTATGCGGGTATCTATTCATGTCCCAGGTCTCCCCTCTTTAGAATATATTCCTAATAATAAGATTGCTTGATCAGATGGTATTTCTAATTTCAACCTTTTAAGGAAACACCAGACCATTTTCCACAGTGGTTGTACCATTTTACAGTTCCATCACCAGTGTATGAGAGTTCCAGTCTCCACACTTTTGCAAGCATTTGTTAGTTTCTGCCTTGTTAAACTTTGCTATTATTGCTGGGGTGCGATGATAGCTCATTGTTGTCTTGATTTGCATCTCTACGATGGCTAATGATCGCCAGCATTTTTTCATGTGTTTGTTGGCTGCCTGAATATCTTCTTTGTTGAAGTTCTATTAGTGTCCTTTGCCCATTTTTGAATTGGATTATTTGTCGTTTTGATGTTGAGGTGTTGAAGTTTTCTGTAAATTTTATAGATAAGTCCCTTGTCAGATATGTTGTTGCTAAATATTTTCCCCCAATCTGTAGGTTCCCTTTTTACTCTTTTGGAGAAGTCTTTTGATGCACATAAGAATTTAATTTTTAGAAGGTCCCAGTCATCTAGTTTCTCTTCTGCTGTTTGTGCATTTTGGGTTATGCTTGACAGTCTATTTATGCCATAAATGAGAGCCCTTAAATTTGCCCCTATTTTATCTTTGATGAACTTTATAGTTTTGGGTTTTATGTTTAGGTCTTTAAGGGAGGAAAGATTCTTGCCTCAATGCCCAATGCCAGGGTAGGGGTGGTAGGAACTCTGAGACCTTGCTGAAGTCGCTGGGAGGCCAGGTGGGGCAACATGAGGGTAGCACCCAGGTTCCCAGATTGAGCCCCACACCTCACATGGGGCTGCCCCCTCTGGGATTAGCATAAACTGGAATGGGATCCAGAGTTGGATGTGACCTGCCACCTTCAGGCTTTTGGTAGACCTGAATGTATAACCTCTGACAGAAGGCAGCCAAGGATCAGGGCACGGGAGGGTGGCCACTGTGGTGACCTCTGAGTCCTCACAGAGCTCACCTGCACCAGCCATGTATCCTGGGGTTTTGAGTGTTGAGTGTGGACTTCTGGCTCCCATGTGGCCTGCCCCTTTCCTGAGTGAGTCTGGGCGGGCAGAACAACCCTGCAGCAGGGGAGAGGGCTGTGGTTGGGAGGCCCAGGCCTCGCCTCACTGTACTGACATTTCTGAGAACTTGCCAGGTTTGCATCAATGTAAACCCACATTGAAGGGTGCCTTACCAAGAACTCAAGAGGACGTGGCCTGTGGCAGGGAGTGGGGAGAGTGGGTGCAGGGGAAGGATCATGTTTCTGATGATGGGTGCAAAAGTCTGAAGTGCAAAACTGCAAGTGGCAAGAGGGCTAGGTGAGTTGGGTTTTTCCTAGGGGTGGGAAGATGATCGACTTCCTGGCTTGATGAGGTGAGGGTCCGTGGGTGCCTTGTCTGTGATTTGTAGGTAGTGCCACCTTTCTGGGGCTGTCACACCAGGGTTACCATCCTATTGGAGGGTGCTTATAGCATGCAGGTCCTGCTGAGGCCTTGGGGCAAACTCTTGAAGGGAAGTGGAGTCCATGTTAGGGTGGTGATTTCAGGCAGAGCTCACAGCTGCCTATTCCCTGTCTTCTTTCCACGTGTCCCTTCCCCCACTCATGTTCACCTCTACAAGGTACCCTGGGCCTGTAACCAGGTCAGCCCTCAGTTTCCTCCAAAAGAGCCACCAGCTTCAGGCCTGAGGGAGGATCTTCAATGGATGGGTGGTCTCCACCCCCACCTCCCAGATTGACCACCTGCCTGCATGATCCTCCCATGGTCTAGCATGTGCGGGAGAGGCAGGGGACTGCTGGTGTGCCTGGGATCCAATCTCTCAGCCTCATACCCAGCCTGGGCTGGCCATCCAAATCTGTAGTTTGTCTATCTGAGGTCAGGGGTGTCTCTATGAGGTGGCTACCCAATGTGGCTGGTTGAGGGGTCTATATCCAGCCAGGGTAGGTCTGTCTGTGGCTGAGAAACCAAGAGATGCTCATACCCCTGACAAGTGCCGGCCACCCTGCTGGCCTCTCCGCATGTGGCCTTACCACTGAGACCGCAGTGACTGGCTACAGCCTAGACTGGTTGTCTCTGCCAGTCCCAACCCTGCTTGTGCTGTTTGCTGAGGGCCTAGCGGTCTCTAGCAGTGTCCAGAACAGGGCCAATGGGAGGGGCTGAGTGAGGCAGCCTCTCTTGTACTTGCAGGCAGTAGTTGATTTGATATGGAAGGGGCTTGGCACAGGGAGGGTTGGACCTGCTGGCCAAGTTTTGCTGCCCTGGACTTGCTACCCTTGGGATAGATAAGCTTTGCTCCTAGGGTTGGGGGACCCCAAAGAATGAGATGTTTTTTGGGACTTAGCACATTTGGAAAATGGGTCTGAGTGATCTGGGGACCTTTGCTTGACTGGGACCTGGCTGGTGGCATTGGAGTTTTGAGGGGACCTGGCAGTTTGAGGCTCACAGGGTACCTTCTTAGGGCTACTCAGAACTTGCTCAGCACTTGTGAAGTAGCCAGAGGCCCCTCTGTGGGCCAAGCCCTGGCTGTGTGGAACATACTGTGATGGGTTAGACTCCAGGCCTTCCCATCATGGAGTCTTCAGTTTGGCAGGAGAGGTGAACCTCAATCTAGATCTTAGATTCAGGGTGGGGAAAGCTGTGGTAGAGGAAGCCTGGTGGGAGATTCAAGGAAGGCTTTCTGGAAAACCCTTTTTTCAGATGACTGAAACACCCACTTGCTGAACCCTGCCCCCCAGGTTCATGATTTAATCTTGTATCTGAGCAGGGATCCCAGGAGCCTCTTGATGAGTGTGGGGAATGGTGAGCATCCTGCCACATCCATGAGGATGTTTTTGAGAACGGGCTGAACTGCCCTTTCCCTGCTCCATGCCTGACCACTCAGGTCCCCACTCCACTGCTGGTTGGAAACATTGCTGTAGTGTCAGCCATTGGGGTGCAGCAGTCATCTCCCCTATGCTCCCCATCCTAAGTTAGCTTCCATGCAAAGCCCTGCAGGCTCAGATGGGCAGAGAGACTTGAAACCCTCTTGTTTCCATAGTGCTCAGGAGCTTCCTGACCTCACCCTGGGGCCCCTCCTCTCCCAAGCTTGATTCCTGGCCACCTTGAGCTGCAGGCAGGGCCTTGACCCCTGGGCTTCAGTTTCCTCATGGTTAATATAAGGCAAGCTCTGGAAGCAGGGCCTGATGCAGAGGGAGAGTCCGGGAGTCGTCTGTTGTGGTCATCATTGCTACGAGTGTGAAATGAGAGCGTGATTGTAAAGGGCTTTGCTGGCGTTTACTGAACACTTGCAATGTTTCGGGCATGGAATCAGTACTTCATGAATGTGGTTCACTTTAGTCTCTGCCACACCTGATGAGGTGAGTTATTCTCAACTGTCCTCAGGTTTACAGATGAGGAAGCTGAGGCATGGAGAGGCAGGGTGATCTGCCCATGGGCCCCACTCTGGCTTTGGCGCCTCCCCCTTTCCACATACCACAGGGCTAACTGTATTTGGGTCTCTATGGCAAGACCTCCAGGGGCCAGGTTAGCACCAACTCTGATCTAGATCACTCTGGCCTGCAGGAGCTGGTTGACTGGGTGCTGGAGGAGGTGGCCCAGAGGCCCTGTGCAGCAGACACCCAAGGCAGCCCCCTCATCCTGGAGGTAGGCTGCGGATCGGGAGCCATAGCCCTCAGCCTGCTGAGCCAGCTCCCCCAGGTGAGCCCCTTCTGCATCCCTATAACCCACCCTGAGGAGACTGAGACCAGTACTCACGTCCCTCCCACCCTTCTACCAGGAGCACCTGAAGGGAATGGGCCAGAGAAGGGATGACAGGGCTACCCCAGCTTGCCATCATCACAGCCTCTACTCCTATCTCTGTCAGGCCAAACCCTGGATACAGAATAGGAAGAGCTACTGGACATTTCCCTTCTCTCCTGGTAGTGGGTGGGGGAAGGACTGTGCTGTACAAGCCTGGCCTCCCCGGGCATCTTGTAGACCACATACCTTTCTTTCTTCTTGTGGCAGAGCCGAGTAATTGCTGTGGATAAGGGGGAGGCTGCCATCTGCCTGACCCACGAGAATGCTCAGAGGTAGGAGGGCTGGAGGCCAGAGGGCCAGGGCAGGGGGGATCAAACTTTGAGGCCTGATCTCGACTCCTATCCTGGTGCCAAACCTGTGGACATCTAATTTCTATTCCTGAAAAAGGGTGAGGGGATTGGGGGCGGGACTCCCACAGGGTTATGAGGGGGTGGTGGGCATCCTGGGTATCCTGGTGGTCTGAGAAGGAGCCACTGTCCCTCCGGGCAAGATGAGGGGCCCGTTCCCCAAGCTCATGCCAACCTCTCTCCTCATTTTTCCAGGCTTCAGTTGCAGGACAGGATTCGGATTGTCCCCCTTGATGTGACTTTAGGTACCCTCTTCACCCATCTTCCCTGGGGGAGGGATCCTGGATACAGGTGCTGTTCCTTGATAAGAATGGATAAGTAACTGTTACCATATGTGTCTCCTAGGCTGAGTTGACCTGTGAGAGGATCAGCTACAGGATCTTTCTTACCTTCTGATTCCCCTGTAACTGAGTTTAACTAGAGCTTGCTTGTTGGTAAGAGAAAAATAGAAGCTCAAGAAAGAAGCCTTCAGGACCAAAATACTTGCCCTGTAGACACTCTAGTCCATATTGCCTATAAGGCCACTGGGACCACAGAGTCCATAGTCAGAAGGTCCTTCCTAGAGGTGGCACTTGAGCTGAGTCTAGGTTATTGAGCAGGAAGAGGAAAGAGCAAGCATATTATAGATGAAAGGGTGTCATGACAGGTCATGTGTGCTTCCAGCCAGGCTGCCAGCTGGGGATCCTGGGCAATAATCTGCAAGGGTAGCTTATCCAGTCCAGAGACAGGACCAAGACAACATGGCTGCAGGGAGAGGCTACCCAAGGGGCAAGGTGACAGGCGGACAACCACCTCTTCTTCTTTTTTTTTTTTTTATTAGGATTTGGGTGAAGATTTACAGAGTAAATTCACTTTTCATACAGCAGTTCACATATACTTTGTCTTATATCACTGACCAAAATTTACAATGCAGCAGCTCCCCTCCCACTTCCTCCCCATAGTTACCTCCTCCCAGTGTCCATCCCTTCATACTCTTCTGCACCCTGAGCTATCTCCCTGTGCATAAGCAGCCCTTCCTTCTCCCATGATTGTTCTCTCCAGGGCGTGTGTCTACTTGAGGTAAATGTTTAACTCACATGCCTGTACTTTGTTTGGCTGGAAACCACAGTTGTGGGTTCAATTCCAGACCTGAAGGGCAGCTAGGGGCCATAGTCTCAGTGGTTACACCAGGCTCTATTGGACCAGCAAACCTGGTCCCCACCTTCTTCTTTTTTTTTTTTTTTGCCTCCAAATGATTTTGAGTTTTGTACCACATTGTTCTCCCTCTTTATGCAGGATCTCCTACATCCCTTCCAAGTGGATGGCAGTGGTAGCTGGGCACCATCTAGTTCTTCTGGTCTCATAGTTATATAGGTTGCAGATCGGATGGTGTACCAGTCGCTAGGACTGATTGTTTCCATTAATTTTGGTTTTCTTCTTTCTTCTTGACGAGTAGAGACCCGTTGTTGCATCTAGATGGCAGCTTCCTAGCTTTTAAGGTCCCAGTCGCTACTCGCCAAAGTAGTAGGTGGAACAATGTTTTGTATAGTATGTTATGCCAATTGAGCTTGATGTCCCCTGCGACTATGGTCCCAAGCCTGCAGGATCAACTACTCCAACCACCTCTTCTTTCCCAGTGGGCCATTCCCTTATGTGCGTCTTCTTCCCTGACCACAGAGAGAAGCTGGGAACACCTTTCGCCCTGGGGCCCCGTGGACTTGGTGGTCAGCAACCCTCCTTATGTCTTCCACCAGGATATGGAGCAGCTGGCTCCCGAGATCTGCAGGTGCTTGTGGGGAAGGGGAGGCCAGGCCTGAGAAGGCCTAGTGGGAGGGGTAGGGGGTGAGGGCCAAAGTGGGCAGTGGTGTGGAAAAGGGTACACTCTAAAGCCTGCAGACCTACCGGGTTCAGCTTATGCCTTCTCACTTAAGACCACTGAATGGCCACTGAACTTCTCTGAGCCTCATTTTCCCACCTGTGAAAGGGGAATAGCAGAGCCTTGCATGGCCACAGTAAGGGCTTAGTGATGACTAAAGTATGGGGCGCAGTGCAGAGCTCATAGTAGGTGCTCAGGAGATGGATGCTGTCATTGTCAGTCTCCGGGTGCCTCCATATACACAGAGAGCATTGTTGTACAGAAGACTGAGGCCTAGAAAGGCAAGGCATCTTATCCAAGATATCATGGTGGTTTAGCAAGAAAGCTGGGACTGAAACCCTATTTCAGGCCTTGTACTGTGCCATCCTGCTCCCAAACAGGAACTGAGAACCGGGGGAGCCCAGGAGCACTTGGGTAGGGTAGGGATAATGTATGTGTGAGGCATTCCTGCCCCATGGCTGTCCATAAATGGATTCACTGAGCATGTGGGGATGTCCCCTGCAGGAGGTAGGGGGATAGGAGCTGCTATACACCTAGGGCAAACTCTTCTGGGTCCTTATACTTGCCTCTCAGCCCAGAGTGAGTTCCACAGGGCCAAGTTCATGTTCCTTCATACTTTTCACATACACCCCTCCCCTCCCCAAGGATCTCACCTACCACTGTCTTTACTTCAGCTACGAAGACCCAATGGCCCTGGATGGTGGGAAGGAGGGCATGGACATCATTTTCCACATCCTGGCCCTGGCACCCCAGCTACTGAAAGACTTTGGGTACTGGTAAAGTGGGTCTCCTGGGTCTGTCCCTAGCAGCCTCCTTCCCTCCCAGTGTGTACTGGGCAAGTCTTGGCAGTCCTTCTGCCCCCAGCCCTCCCAGCCCAGGCATCCCAGGAGTGTAGGTCTTGGCCCTGCCTAGTTGAGCTGACTCAGCTTCTCTCACCCACATAGAAGCATCTTCTTGGAAGTGGACCCAAGGCACCCAGGGCTTGTTGGGAGCTGGCTCCGGAGCCGGCCTGACCTGCACCTCAATCTCAGGGCTGTACGCGGGGACTTCTGTGGGAGGTAGGGTTCTGCCTACTCCCCACAGTTCCCAGGCCAGCCACACGTGCACTACCCCCAGTGGCTGGAGCCAGAACACAGCTCCACTCTGAGGAGAATGTGCTGTGCCTACTCCCTACTCATTCCCAGAGGCCCAGGCTGTAACAGGTCCTCATCCCTGCCTCCTCAGGCTCAGATTTCTCCATATCCAGAAGTCTGGACCCCAGTGTGGCTGCCCTATGGACACCTGGCCAGGGCTCCAGCCTGCCTGAGTACCTGGATAACCTTTCATTCTAGCATGCTGCCAGAAAGAGGTAGATGATGCCTTCCAGTATCCCAGGTGCTCCCAGTGTTTCCTGTGGCTCTGCAATTCCCTATGCGCTGTATTTCTGGGGGTAGAAGCCAGGGTGGGTGTGTCCTTCCTGGGGTGGTAAAGAACAGGGTCATCAACAGCTCAATTCAGAATCTGGGTTGACTTGGGTTCCCAGTCTGGCTCTATCATATCATTGTAGCTGAGAGCAGGTGGCTCGATGTCTCTGCTGGTGGAACGAGGGTAGCCCCAGTCCCATCCTTCCAGATATTGGAGATATGGCCAATAAAGACCAATAAATAATGATCTTATATTTTTGTTACTATGATATGTGAGTTCCCTCCTGCTCCAACAAGGAGCAGTGTGGAGGGAGGCATGTGGGTGCTCGCTTCTGGTCCTGGAGGCCTTGGGACTTGGCACTGAGCAGCTCATTCCCAAGGGTGACTTAGTTCTCCACTGTCCTGGATGTACCCTCACATACCCAGCTGACTGGACCTGGGCTCAGAGCACAGAAACCTCACCTGAACTTCAGCGCACAGATGGCTGTCTGGATGAGACTGAGAGTCCTTGCCGCATAGTTCAGAAGTCACGTATCCACAGTGATTTAACTGAGGGCTTGAACAGTGAGGAGTGAGTAGGACTTTTTATTAAGTTTTTATTCCCAAGGCTTCTAGCTAAAAACATTCCTTCCAAACTGACCTTGAGGTTTTAAGTAACCCATCTGTTTCTGGTTGGGGCTGGGGAGAAAGAAGCCAAGACAGACTAGATTTCTCATCCCTACTCTGTGCAGACTCATGGCTGCCAGGAGGCCCAAAGGCCCAGCCCTCCTGTCCACAGAGATAGGAAGCCTGTAGGTTGGCAGGGGCCAGTGTGAGCCTACATTAGGGTGGGTGCTAAGGGGCATGGCAGAGCAAACTAGCTCATCCTGCCTAACCCCTGCCTTGGCATTTTCAAGGGCCTGACCTGGTGGTGTGGTAGCTGGAGGCAGTATACTCTGGTGGGCATTATTCTCTGCTGCAGCCAGGAGACCAGAGTCCTAGGGCTATGTCTTGCAGTAGGACCTCATATAGCAGTTTCCCTATGGCTCTCTGGCTCCAAGGCCATTATGATGTGGCAGACTCAGTTTACTCTGTCAGCCAGGTGGAGTATGCAGGCTGGCTTCTTGAGTACCCACTCCTTAGAAGGGACACTGATGCTTTAAGAGAAGACATAGCCTGCCTGAAGTCCCATGGTAAGAGATTGCCAAGTGGAGACAGGAAGTTAGATCCCTGACTTTGGGGAGTCTGTGTTGCTGGAGTCATCCCCAGCCTGAGAGACTCACTCCCCTGTTGTGGTTAGGGGTCCCATTCACTTTGGCAGAGGCCAGGCTATAACTCCCAGGGCTGTGGTGTCCTGCCCCATGCCCAGTCCCACCTGCAAGGACCCCGAGCTGCCTCCAACATCCTTCGAGGAGGAGCTGGGGGCTCTCTATTATGGATACTCCAGAAAACACCTAGGAGTATAGAATGTGACACAGAGGAGGATTCCCCACTTCCTGAGCCCCCTATACTGTCAAACCTTCACACTTTTGCCTATCAAGCTCATCACAAAAGTGCTTTTTCTCCTCCTGCCTGTTCCCCTTGGTTCTTGGTGTCTTCAGGAGTATCTCAGAGTGGCTACCTTGACCCTCATGGTGATCCGTTGCCTCCTTATCTCATAGCCTGGGTCACACTTCAGCCAGTGCTGGCTTCCCTAATATTCTCACCCTTCTCACCTCAGGCCAGTTACTGAGAAAAAGACTTGGCAAGCATACAGGTATGTCACCCAAGAGTGTGATAATGGAGAGTGATAGCGTAGGGACAGCTAGGGTCACTGGAATAGAAGCCACCCTTGGTGATAACTTCCTTTCCAGAAAACTGGGGGGCTTGACTCCATGGGAAAAGTGGTTCAGACCAAGTGGATTGGCAAGGTAGGGCCTCAAGCCCACAGCTACTAGCTTGATTGGGCTCTGGGTCAGAAGCTTGAGACCTAACATTGGAGCCACACCAGCCTGAATTCAGATCTGAGGTCCACCCCTCACGAGATTATAACCTTGGGTAGATGACTTCACCTTCCTCAGTCCTGGCTCCAAAGCCTGAGAAACAACACCAAGTGCTTTATTATGTAGAATAATTGTTGAGGAGCCCTTGGGATGCCCCTTTTGTGGGTCATTGTAGATGTTTTCATTGCCTGCCCTGGAGGCTGGGCATAGGGATGCTTCTGCACCCTCACATCTATCTGAAGCCTAGCACCAACACCTTCCTACGAGGCAGAAACACAACAGTCAGAGGAGGGAAAGATAGATATTGGTCTCAGGCTCTGGACTTTTCTCTGCCCTCTGGAAATGGAGCCACAAAAAGGCTGTTAGCCTGGCAGTCCAGGACCTCCCTTGAGCCCCTCCTTCCCTTTCCTCACCAGGTCCTAGTGCCCCAAGGCCCAATCCAGGATGGCCAGTGGCTCTACCTCAGTGAGCTGCCTGCTCTATCCCCTGCCTCCCTTCTAGACTCACTGAGCCAGCAGCTTGAACTGCCTCCTCTGCCTGTGTCATGGAGCCTATGGAGGCAGAACAGCAGAACATGGAGCTGATGGTGGACCCCAGGCTCTGCCTGCTGCCTGCCCAGCCACCTTCAGTCAGAACCTAGAGCATGGGCCAGTGTGTAGGAGGCCCTGCTCATGCACTCTGGGAAAGCAGCTCCACCCCATCTTTTGGGAAGATTGAGATCTTACCTCCCAGTTGGATGTTTTTCCCAGGTACCCATAGGTCTTAACACCCACATGCTCTCTAGAAATGTGCCCTGAAACCCCTAACTACAAGAAATGAATCTTTCTGCTTTCCCATTTCCATCTGGACCCCGGGCCACCTCAGCTGCCTCCAATCACGGCCCTAAATCCTTGGTTGGTTCCCCAACCTGAGTGTGTTTCTGTGTCCTACAGAGTCCAGGTTGGAATAGGTAGGGGAGGGCAGCCAGGGGAAAGTCCCTGGAACCCTCCCCCCAGCGCCCCGTCAGTTCTCTGAGTAAGCTTCCATCAGAATAAAGGGTTTTACTGCTGCCTGACTGCTAACCAGAAGGCTGGTGGTTCAAACCCATCAGCCACTCCTCAGAAGGAAGATGGGCAATCTACTTCCATAGTGATACTGCCTTGGAAACCCAAGGAGTTGCTATGAGTTGGGTCCAACTTGACTACACATAACAACAACAATAACACTGCTGCCCTCAAACAGGGCTTGAGAATCCTGGCCTGGAGTGAGGAATCCTTTAATCCCTGGAGGCCAGTGTGTCCTTTCCCAGCCACCTTCAGATTCTTTTCTCTATTGACCTGGACTCAGCCTCCCTAAGCACATCATCTTCGCTTTTCCCAGGCAATGCACCAGGAATGGCCCTGCCCACCACTGTCATTCCAAATTATCTCTCTTTCAGGGTCCAACACAAGTATTGTCTCCCCTGGGACATCTGTCCTCACCTCTGTATTCTCCTTGCCTGCTCCTGAGCCATACTTCTGCCACCAGTGATGTTCTGTCCCCTGTACTTGGAAGCCACTCTGTCTCCCTCATCTCTATGGGACCCCATGCAGTTCTGGCATACCCCAGACTCAATAAATATCAGCTAATAAGCCACTACTGAGAGAGTTTTCTAGAATGAGCTGGAGTTTCCCACATGGCACACCTCTGACATAATGGCAGCTCTCCTATATCCTGGCCAGCAGCGAGAGGAAGCCATGAGTGTCTGGTCTTTAGCCTGAGCCAGGCAGCTGTTTGACTTGAGCCAACTTCAAGGGCTCAAGTGCACCTGACCTACACAGTGGCCACACCAGGAGAACAGACTGTCCTTGGCGGCTGCAGGGGCAGGCGCCACATTTCCTGGAGCTCTGGGCCTAAGCCAGGGTGTTGACCAGGATAATGGCCTGATCCCCCTCATGACCTCTTAGCCCCGGACCAGCTCTCTGAGCTGGGCTTGGGACTGGCAAAGCAACCCTCCCTTCCTGTGGTAAGCAAAATAATGACCCCCAAAGATATATGCACCCTAATTCTCAAAACCTGCAAATTTGTTATTTTATATGGCAAAATAGACTGCAGATGTGCTTAAGTTAAGGACCTTGAAATGGGAGATTATCCTGGATTATCCAGGTGGGCCCAATATAATCATAAGGGCCTCCAAGAAGGAGGTAGGAGTGTCAGAGTGAGAGAGGATGTGAAGATGGAAGCAGAGGTCCAAGTGATGCTGAAGGAAGAGGCCATGAGCCAAGGAATGCAAGCAGCCTCTAGAAGCTGGAAAAGGCAAAGAAACTGATTCACTCCTAGAGCCAGAAGGAATGCAAGACCTTGATTTTAGTCTGATGAAACTGATTTTGGATTTCTGACCTCCAGAACTGTAAGAAGATAAATTTGTGTTGTTTTGTGTCATTAAATTTGTGGTAATTTGTTACACGAGCAATAGGAAACTAATACAGATTGTGGTACCTAAAGTGGAGTGCTAATGTAACAAATACCTAAAAATGCAGAAGTGGCTTTGGAATTAGAATGTAGAAATGGGCAGTTGTTGTTGTGTGCCGTCAAGTTGGACCCAACACATGGTGACCCCTCCTTGAATTTCCAAGGCAGTATCACTACAGAAATAGATTGCCCAACCTGCCTTCTGAGGAGTAGCTGGTGGGTTTGAACTGCCAGCCTTCTGGTTAGCAGTCAAGTGCCTTAGGCACTA